CAAAGAACTCAACCACTGTCATGGTTTTAAGAACAGGGTAGGATTGACTGGGGAAGGAAATACCAAATACATTTGTAAAATTATATGTAGTAAATGCAGAATTTGAATTAGAGTTAACCCTGGAGTGTAAGATAAAATACTGAATTTTCTACCCAGCAGGCCCGGAAAATCTCCAGAGAGGAGTCACATCCCATCAGAGCCCTATGAGCCCATCTCCCCACCCCAAGTTCCTGCTGTGCATGAGAAGCAGGACAGCATGTTGCTCTTGTCACAAAGGGGAGTGGAGCCTGTGGAGCAGAGGTGGGTAAGCTGAACTTCTCCCCGGCTCCTGTTAGGGGCAGCCTGTGCCTAAACCTTTCCTTAAGTCACTGCCTTTCTCTTCTTTGTGGTTTTTATATCAGGCTAGGACTCTGGGAAGAATATCTAAGAGTATTTTCCCCATGAGGTAATACTACTGGATGGTAGCTAAACCATCACATTCAACAAGTTAGAGAAACTTCATCATTACTCCTACAGTTAATCTTCCTAGACCCTTTGGAACAGGTGGTGTTTGAAGACTTAGCTATATCAAGGGTTGTGGACTGCACACAGATTGTGCCTTGTAGATTTCTTTATCACCGTCTTCTAACCCTTACTTTGATCTGAGTGACTAACTGCCCTTCCGTTTGCCCTGTCTTACTGCTCTGTACCTCACCAGAGTAAGTACACTATGACACATTGAGTAAAGCACTTAGTCAGTAGCATGTCATTTTCGTTCCAAAGCCAGGCTTACAAAGCTTCATTTCCTGCTGTTTCACCCTGGAGTCTCTGTTGTCTGAGTTCTTCTTGAGAGTCACACTTTTCTTGGCAGTAATGGCATTAACACCCTTTAATGCCAAGAGCCAAATACATGATTTGATGGTGGCCAAGGTGTGGTAGGGAGAAGAGAGTCCAGTTTTTAAACAGATCTGTCTAATTTTAGATTGCTGATGAATTTCTGGGAATTAATTGTACATTATTTGTAGGCAACATAAAACATGTTGCTTCGATGAAATGAGGGAGAAAATCTTTATACATTCATGTTTTCCCAAATTGAATTTTTTTTTCCAGTTCCAAGGAACCTAAGGTGCACTCTTTGCTTCCAATAGCAGTAGGCATGCATGTGGTGGAGGGACATACACACACATATACACATAAAACATAAGAGTAAGTCAAAGTCACAGTTGCCACTTCAAAATCCTGAAGTTATATTAGGAACTTGTCGCTAGGAGGGTAGGGGAACACTGGCTAGGTAAGAAGAAAAAAATTGACATTGTTTCTTTCTTTGACATATTTTTCCTACTCATTTTTGTTTTCTTTTTTTGAGACAGGGTCTCTTAACATAACACTGGCTGTTCTAGAACTCACTATAGACCAGGCTGGACTTGAACTGACAGATACCCTCCTGCCTTCTGAGTCCCGGGGTTAGATATGTGCACCAGCACACCCAGCCATACCTCTGCTTTTTGAAACATGTAAATGTACAGTACTAGCTGTTCCAAACATTCAGTTTTTAAAAGTCTTCATGTGGTTTTGGACGTAAGTCAGTTGGTAAAGTGCCTCTTTCGTACATATGAGGCCCTGGGTTCAAGTGCCATACTGCATAAATCTGATGTATATATAATCTCGGCAGTCCCCAACTGGAGGCAGAAGGATCAGAAGTTCAAGGTCATCCTCAGCTACATCATCTGTTTGAGGACAACTTGGTAGGCAGTGACAGGCAGATCTTTGTGAGTTCCAGGCCACCTTGGTCTACTAGTGAATGCCAGTCAAGTTGGAATTACATAGTGAGAACCTTGTCTTAAAAGAGCAGGGCTGATGTTGATTGGAGTGATTAAGCTTCCAGAGGACCCAAATGCAGTTCCCAGCTTCCACTTTAAGCAGCTTGTAACTGCAGCTTCAGGGCATTTGATGACTTCTTCTGGCCTCCACAGGTACCTGTACTCATGTGCATACATACATGCACAAATAAATAATTTCTTAAAATATATCTTAAAAAAGACTTTCTAATAAAAAAAAACCCAAACTTGCCAAAATACAAAAACCTCATCAGACTTTATGATGATGATGAATTAATATCAGTCTATTATTAACAATGAGAATTTTGAGGGGTGGTCTCACAAATTAAATTTTTATGCACAGGGATCATGTCTTCTTTTTGTCTTTGTTCACACACAGTGTTTAAATGGTGAATGAATACATATGACTAGATAGTGTTGTCAACAGTATGTTCTGTTACAATCTGTTAGGGAAAGCTTGTTAAACTTTGAGTATGGGAGACTACCAGTGAAATATGAGATCCATTGTATTAAAATACAGTTCATCTCCTGTTTGTCTTAACATGATTATAATAATTAAGGCAGTTTTATGTAGTTACTGCAGCTATTTTGCTGAAGTCCAAATGACTTGCTAGATATGAGCCTTTGCTGTTTTATAGGTAGGTGTGTTATTAGTCACCACGAGTGTAGTTAAAGAGAATGTTGCTAGTAAGTTAGTTACTAGCTTATATAACCATAGTTTGTGCTGTTAAGCAAGTAATACTGTGCCATTTTATTCCTTAAGGATTTGTGCTGTAGATTAGGCAGCCATGGTGGCAGGACACACCTTTAATCCTAGCACTGGGGAGGCAAAGGCAGAGGTAGACAGATCTTTGTGAGTTCAAGGCTAGCCGGTCTACATAGTTCCAGGACAGTCAGAGTTATATAGTGAGACCCTGCCTCAATAAATAAACACATAAATAAAACTGTACTGTAGATCATCTTCATTCTAGTCCTAATTTTGCTGTTTCATTTTTCAGAGCCAAAAAAGCATTTGACTATTTCTGAATGAGTTTATGGTCACATACTACTTCCTAAGGTGGTAGCAAACACAGACTGTGGAGGCAGTAGGAGTGCATGATGCTAACACACTGAACTGTATCCCTGACAGGACTGATTCTCGATCACCAGGAAGTATAAGCTACTTGCCTTCCTTCTTCACCAAGCTTGAAAGCACATCACCCATGGTTAAATCAAAGAAGCAGGAAATTTTTCGTAAGTTGAACTCCTCTGGTGGAGGTGACTCTGATATGGGTAAGTGGGATTTCTTTCATGAACCCCAAATAAAACATGCATTAACAATGCTATCTCCAGCGTTGCCTTTTTTACAATCCTGAGTTTGAAGGTTTTTTATAGAGCATCTTGATTCTGTACAATATCACAAATTCACAAATAGTTCATTCTTAGGAAACAGGAACTTAGGTTTTTCTGAAGCCATCTGTCTTCATGGGGAGCTAATGCTGAGTCTAGTACACGTTTGTCTTTACACGTGGCTAAATTGATTTTATGTAGGTTTTTATTGATGTCTGTCTTGTTTTAAAGCTCATTTGTTTTACTTTTATCTGTTTGAGTCATCTCCACATAACATTTCTTCAAATACATGAAAAGCATGTTTTTCATGAATCTTACCTCTAAAGCCCCGTTTCATCAATCATTCTTAACATCCTTGTTCCAAGTATGATATTATCTCACTTTATTTAGCTTATCTTTTGAAAGTCTTCTGAGTAATTCAAATAAATGATATTATCTGCCCTAAACTTACCATTCTTACTATAGTGTAAGGTATTTAATTTACAACCTGAACAGCTAAGTTACATGACACTGTGCCTAAAAACAGATGTCAAGATGTCAGTTGGCTACTCTGGAATCAACTCTCCCTGCTCTGTTTTGGAAATTACTAGTTCTGGATATTGGACAGGGTGATTTATAATTTGTCCTGGCTGTCTTCTAACCTACCAGGACCTGACAGAATCTCACGAGTTTCAGGACAGTCCTGTGGCATATAGATACAACTATGATAAACTAATTGTTGCATAAGATTAACTTGGGGGATGGATGGCTTAGAGGTTAAGAGCATTGGCTCCTCTTCCAAAGGTTCTGAGTTCAATTCCCAGCAACCACATGGTGGCTCACAACCAGCTGTAATGAGATCTGGTGTCCACTTCTGACCTGTAGGAACATGCAGATAGACCCTGCATACACAATAAACAAACAAACAAAAATAAATCTTTAAAGAAAAGATTAAGTAGCACTTACTGTGTGTGCAGCACACTACATGTTATTATCTCCATTTATAAATGAGTATGGAAACTGAATCAGAGAGGTTTAATCCCTGATGAACATTACCCAAGAATTAATAGGTCTGGAGTGCCAATCCAGCACCCTAGCCGGACTCTGTTTCCACTGATGCATCCATCCCTGTAACAGTTGAGTGCCCAATCTCCGAGGTTGTTGGATAACGTCTCCAGAAAGCTGTATGACAGCCTCATGTACTTGCTCTAATCAGAGTGCTGCTGTACTATTATTTACATGTCCTTTGCTACCCTCCAGTTTTGTTTTGTTTTTTGGTTTTTTTTTTCCAAGACAGGATTTCCATGTAGTCCTGGCTGTCTTAGAACTCGCTCTGTAGACCAGGCTGGCCTCGAGCTCACAGAGATCCACCTGCCTCTACCTCACATGTGCTGGGATTAAAGTTGTGCACCACTACCTGTCAGCCAGTCTTATTAATTGACGAGTGATAGAGAATCTAGAGAGACCTGTCTCTGATCTATGATTTGCTAATCTCCTGACCCTGTGAAAAGAAGTTCTGGGCTCTGAGGGTGAACTACCAGACAGGACTATAATTACATCTCCACCATTCATGATTAATACTTATTACATGCTCCTCTCTGTTGAATGGTGAAGAGAAAAGAATAAGCCCCACCTCACTCATTGTGAACCTACTTTGTCTCTACATTATCAGATGTGTCTTTCCTCCTTTTTTTTCATTTTAGTAAATATAGACTACAGAAAACTGAGCAATAACTCCTAAGACGTGTTTTCAAGATAGTAATGCCCTGAATTTTCTTTAGGTGTCAACAAATTGTAGAATGTTGACCAGAACTATAAAACTTCCAGGATGACCAAGCTACCCATACCATTATTAGAAACACTACAAATACAGGCTTTTGATTTCTTCAACTGTTTCATCTATTTATAGTTCTTCAAAGATCACCAGCAAAACAAATCAGTGCTTTCATGTACACAGTCTCTCTTTCTTTTAAGGTTTATTTATTATATGTAGTGTTCTGCCTGTATGTATACCTCCAGGCTAGAAGAGGGTACCAGATCTCATTACATGTGGTTGCTGGGAATTGAACTCAGAACCTTTGGAAGAGCAGCCAGTCCCTCTACAGTTTCTTAACTTAGAGATGACCTTCCCAAGCATATGGACACACAGGTTGTTGGGGGAACCATTTCACTCTCTATCCTTTTGTCTTGCCTGACTAGTGCGGAGGAAATTCTTGACAGAGCATGCTGTGAGTTCATTATTGGTGGTATTTTCACACTGTCCTCGGCAGGCATTTACTAAACTGAGATCTATGTTGATGGCTGGTCTCACAAGTGTCTAGGAAAACCTGGTAGGAGATAGTGTGTTGGAGCCTTAAGGCCAAAACTAACAAAATTGTGTTAGAGTCTGCAGTATTTTAATTTTTATGTGTATGGGTGTTTTTGCCTGCATGTTTGTGAACCAGGTGTGCCATACTCACAAGGGACAGAAGAGGGCGTTGTATCCAATGGGACTGGATTTACAGCTGGCTGTATGTTGTCATGGATGCTGGAAATGAAACCCATGCCCTCTGGAAGAACACTTAATCACTGAGCCATCTCTTCAGCCCTAGAAACCTGTTTTTTTTTTTTTTCTTCAATTTCATTATTTATTATTGTAAAAGCTCTGACTATAGAAAAAGGAATTTATGTCAGGTGTTCGTGGCACACACCTTTGATCCCAGCACTCAAGATGCTTTAACTCTGAGTTCCAGACCAGCCTGGTTTACAGGGCGAGTTCCAGGACAGCCTCCAAAGCCACAGAGATACCCTATCTTAAAAAACAAACAAAACAACAACAACAAAAAAAAAAAACAAAAAAAAAAAAAAGAAAGAAAAAGGAATTTAAATAACCAGTGGTTCTAGGATACCATTGAATCTTTACTGGCAAATAGTTGACAACCCAAAAGCCACCCACACTAAGAAAACTGCTTAGACTTGGTATCTCAATTTGTTACCCTGTGGGACAGATCAGTGGTGGTGTTTTTTAGCACTCACTTTACTGGTGGCTTCACAGTTGTCACAGTCCTTTTTGTAGAGTTAGTTCTTCAGTTGCCTTAGATGGTGACGTTTTGGGCCATTTCTAGTTTCTTCAACTCAGCCTGGTCCTTGTTTTCTCCAGGGCTTTCAATATCTTTTCCCTTACACACTGTGATTTGGGGGCATTTAAAACTGAATTTCATACTACAAACCTATGAACTTGTGTCTGAAGTTCAGATTTTGTTAGTTTTTTTGAGACAGGCTTTCTGTGTGTAACAGCTCTGGCTGTCCTGGAACTCGATTTGTAGACTAAGCTGGCCTGGAACTCACAAAGATCCTCTGAGTGTTGAGATCAAGGGCATGTATTGCCACAACCTGGTCCAGCTTCTTATTTTATCTAGAATATATTACTGGGTCTTTTATAAAACTGAACACCCACTCTGCTCCCGACATTAAGTTCCTAATCTTCATAACCGGTTAACTTCAATGTTCTATTTTCTTGTCCTTCTCTGTTAAGTCAGTTCGCAGGTGCTTTCTTATCATTTATAAGCAACTGTCACATCTACTTTAAGACATGAGGCCTCACACTGCATTGTGACTATCTGAGGGCTTATTAAGTATGTAAATTTAAGGCCCCAAGAATTTAGAAAATGGGGGAGAGTGGAGGCCACCCTGGTCTACAGGAAGTTCCAAATAGCCACAGCTACTTAAGAGCCTATCTATATTTTTAAAAACAAACAGAAAATGGCATTTTACTAAGTTATCAGGGCATTCTGCTCTATACACGAAAGCAGCACACTTAACTGTAAGCTCTGAAGTGAAGGAAGAGCCTCATTCTGAGTGTTTGGTATTACTACTGTTTGAATTACATTCATCATAAATTCTGTAGTTCTGGCACAGAAGTTCTGCCTCTCCCTCCCAAGTGCTAGGCTTACATGTGCTACCACACCCTCTCTCATGGGATCATCTTTTATTGCTTTTACTCTATTATGGTTCAGTCAGTAATGGTTCACTAAGCTACAAACAGTTATTTCAGATTGTGTTGTCTTTGGAAGTCAGATTGCCTGTAGTCACTGTTCTACAGTCCCTCCTATTAGGGTTGTCATGTCGTGTGCTCTCCCCCTAGTCTTAAACTGCTCTGATCAAGAATGTTAATTTCTAGGCACATATGTTCTTCATAAATAGCTCTCATACTTAGGCAAAAGTCTATCCACCCATAGTGTATAGTGCTCAGATATCATTTAGGTATCTTCTTACTTCCAAAATTATTTTTTCCTTTTAACATTTTCAGCAGCAAATAAGAAGGCATGATAGAAACAACTTGTGTCTCCAAGTCCCTTCCCCTTCTGGCACAAAATGTTTTATAGGTAGTTTTCATTTCATTTTTAGTTAAGCTGCAAATTATAAATTGCATACTTGCCAGGAATCAATGATGGAACAAGGCAGAATCTTTTTTCATTCAGGGAATATCCTGAGTGCAGAAAATTTCCACTTAGCTCTGGTAGCGAGTTGCTTCTAAACTATCCATCCACTGAGGTGGATTTTAAACACTTTCAAACTTGACTATTGATACATTTCAGGGGTGTCTGAAGTTCAAGTCTCCATTCCTTGGAAGCCTGAATTCCTGTTTTGGGAATGACTTTCTCCTGTTGGTTTGCTTTGCCCTCAGCAATGTACCATCTCTTTTTCTTTCGTGATTTATCTTATTTGTGTTTTGAGTTTTCTACCTGACCTGATTTTTTTATTTCTTAATATCTTCCCTGCCCCAAGAATTTTCATTTCCACATAAATTAAATACAGAAAAATCAAGAAGTTAATTTTATTCTAGAATTTCTTGAGACTTTGTATCATTATTATCTCATCTCAGTTAACCTAAAGATTTGTTTGAATTTAGCAGCTGCACAGCCAGGAACTGAGATCTTCAATCTGCCAGCAGTTACTACATCAGGTAAGAGTTGTAAATACTTGCTGCAGAGTGAGCACAGCAAAGTAGTAGTAGGAATGACCATGATGAGTCCTGCATTTAACTATGAAGTTTCTCAGCATCATGCTAGGTCATCCTCAGCAGTGTCTGAGTGTTGAGAGCCCAGGTTCTTTCTTCGTTTCACTCTGCTATGATCTGCCTCAGAAAGCAGCAGCAATACACTGCCTTGTCTCCTCAGGTGCAATTAGCTCAAGAAGCCATTCTTTTGCTGATCCTGCCAGTAATCTTGGTCTAGAAGACATCATCAGAAAGGCTCTCATGGGAAGTTTTGATGATAAAGTTGAAGATCATGGTGTTGTCATGCCTCAACCTGTAGGAGTTGTGCCTGGTAGTGCCAGCACCTCAGTTATGACCGGCAGTGACACACGGAGAGATGAAGGGGACCCATCACCTCATTCAGGTAAGGTTTTTATTTCAGTGTTCTGCTGCTACTTGTGATGCATCACTGAGAACTCTTGTGCTAGAGAGGATGTTAAATCCACTTGAACTGGAGTTACAGAAGGTTGTGAATAACCATGTAGGTTGCAGGGAATTTTAACCTGGGGTCCTGGACAAAAGTAACAAGGTTCTTATTAACCACTGCACCATCTTTCCAGCTCCCGTATGGTGTTTTTTTGTTGTTGTTGTTGTTGTTGTTGTTTGTTTTTTTGTTTTTTTGCTATGTCATTTACTATTCTGCAAGCCATAGAAGAGACCACAGAAATGGAACAAAACCCCACAATGGCAAAGGCATGGGTCACCAGTGCTATCCACCTGGGCTTGATCATTAGAATCAGCAGGACAGAAGAACTGATACCTGTATCCCAGACAAAATATTTTTAAAGCCTCATGCACCCCAGAGAAAATAATGTTTTTAAAGATCCGTTTGAACCCACCAAAGCCATTGGATGAATAGGAATTATTCAAAAGTCTTTTGGAAACACAAGATGTATATTAGCAATCATTTACAACCTATAAATCAAACCAACAAAAAAAATCTTAGGAACACTGGGGCTGAGAAAAAAATGTGCTAAGTGATGTGGATTCTTTAAATATTTTTTGTTATAAAAGCCAGTCGTGTGGGGAGGGGACTAGGAAGAGCCAGTGAGACTTGCAGAGTATCTGCTGAGATCCTGGAGTAGAAGGCATACAGTCTGTCCTTTACACACTTGCAGTGGCCTAAGTCCTCCACTTGCTTCTTTTAAATTGAGGTGGGGGCAGGGGCAGAGGGAAGCAGATGTCTATCACCATTACCTACACTCTCAAGGCCAGCAATGCTCCCTTAGTTACCAAATGCTCTTACGTTTATAGGAGGCTGTGCTCTGCCTCCTCCTTAAACACACACTGCATCTTCAGTAAAGCACAGGGTCTGGGTTCTTCATCCTGTTACTCTGGTTTTTTTTCACTTGGGATTATAAAATAGGTATTTTGGTAGGCTTTGTTGTTGTCACTGAAAACTTAAATTATTTATTGGTAGTTAATATAGTAGCTTGAATTTCACTTTTAGGAGTATGCAAACCAAAGCTGATCAACAAATCAAACAGCCGGAAGTCTAAATCTCCTATTCCTGGGCAAAGCTACTTAGGAACTGAACGGCCTTCTTCAGTCTCCTCTGTACATTCAGAAGGTGATTACCATAGGCAAACACCAGGATGGGCCTGGGAAGACAGGCCTTCTTCAACAGGTGAGGAGTGTTGAGGAGCCTCATTTAACTGATAAAAATGAGATTCAATTTGTGTCAGTGTTTTGTTAATATTGTGATTGTGAATTAGATGTTATGGTTTGGGCAAGAACTGTAGTATGTATGTATGTATGTATGTATGTATGTATGTATGTATGTATGTATGTATGTATGTATGAGACAGGGTTTCTCTGTGTAGCCTTGGCTGTCTTGGAACTCACTTTGTAGACCAGGCTGGCCTTGAACTCACAGATCTGCCTGACTCTGCCTCTTGAGCACTGGGATTAAAGATGTGCTACACTGCCTGGTAGAACTGTAGTTTTCTCTTTGTTACTTGGGTCTACTTTTCACAAGATAATTTATATTCAGGTGGTCCATACATCCTCATCTTTGGACTATGTTGGTTGGTAACTAGTATTTGCAAATGAGGTGACTCCCCTTTAGTTTTTACTAAGAAATCAAAATCAGAACTAGGAAGCATAATGCTTTAACAAAAGCCATCATGTCTATAGGTTTACATCTCCACAAATGTCTCATGTGCACATGTGCTTTTAAAAACATAACATCAGTGGATGATGAAATAGCTTTACTGTAAAGTAACTGCAGGCCTAATAATGGCCTGAGTTCAATCCAACCACATAAATCTCCCAAAAGTTGTCCTTTGACTTCTACCCATGTCATGGCACAAGCATGCCCACACATATCATACACAATATAAATAAGGATTAAATCATTTTTTAAAAAAGTAGCCATTTTTTGAAAGGATTAAAAAATAATAAGGCTGGCATATCTGCTATGGATTTTAGAGTTTTAGAGAATTGTTTTTTTTCCCGTTACGGGTTAATATACATATATTCCCTACTCCCAAATCTGAAATGAGCTCTCTGCCCCTGTATTTCTAACAATTTCATAGTTAGACCTATACAATTCAAGGCTTCTGCCTTTTAACCCTCTAATGCCATGTGTAAAAGGATTATGTACTAGTAATCTCTTACAGAAGCAATGCATACATTAGCAGTAGGTTAGCACACAATACAAAGTATTGTACCACCACATCTTCACACCTAAGTGTGGCAGGATATTTTGTTCTCCTCCCCCCCCCCCGCCCATGTCTCCCTCCTGCTCTTCTTCCCCTGCCCATACCCTTTCCCTTCACCCAGTGGCTTTCTTACCTCAAGTGTCCCATTACTTTACTCTAGGGAAGGAGGTTTTTTTATTACATCAGAAGACGACTTGATAAAATGCATGTTTTATGGTTTTGTTTTAAAATGATAGGAGGTACTGTGGGACAGGACAGTTAGTCTTGAAATGACAAGTGGTGCTCTTGTTACTGTGTCCCATTTTAAATCTCATACACATTAAAATCAGCCTAGTGCGCACGCCTTTAATCCCAGCACTCGGGAGGCAGAGGCAGGTGAATCTCTGTGAGTTCGAGACCAGCCTGGTCTACAGAGCAAGTTCCAGGACAGCCTCCAAAGCCACAGAGAAACCCTGTCTCGAAAAACCAAAAAAAAAAAAAAAAAAAAAAAAAAAATCAGCTTAGTGAGACTGCATAGAGGTCACACAGCCTTGCTAAAGTTTAGGTACTTGCCACATTCTGAGAGCTGTATTTTTTATTTCTATTGGCAAGTTACTAGTATGGCTATGGCCCTCCAATTAGAGCTTAATATTCAGTAGCTCTCTGCTTGCATCACCTGTGGAGACGAGTGATGTGGTGTCACAGACTTATCATTCCTACCCATGTGGTTACTTTTATTATTTATCCTTTCCTTGCCATTCTGTTTTCAAGGCATCACAAGACCATTTTACTAGAATACTCCTGCCCTGTTCCATCCTGTAAGTACTGCATTAGATGATAATGACACTAAAAATCTCCTCTTCCTTTTGTCAGGTTCTACTCAGTTCCCTTACAACCCTCTGACCATGAGGATGCTCAGCAGTACACCACCAACACCGATCGTGTGTGCCCCTTCGGCCATCAACCAAGCAGCTCCCCATCAACAGAACCGCATTTGGGAGCGGGAACCTGCCCCGCTGCTCTCAGCGCAGTATGAGACACTGTCTGATAGTGACGACTGACTTGTGCACAGGAGGGAACTCTGGCTTTGACTTTAATTTCAGATTAAAAAATTCTGTCCTCCTATGATTTGTGCCCAGAGACTTCTCAGGAGAGCCAGGGCCACAGACGAAGAAATGATGGAAATTCATTTGGAATACCAAACGAAAGGAAAAAAACAAAACAAACTGCCTCTAATACAGGCAACTCAATGGATTAAGTGGAGGAGGGTTGAAGTGTAGAGTTTTTTTTTTAAAGTGGACAATTCCTGTTCTTACGTCTGTTTGTAAAGAAAACCATGATGTCTTTAAATCACTCTTCTGTAAATAGATGATCTTTTTTGCAGTGTATCCCCTTGCTGTAGTATCTGGTGTACTTAAATTTAAATCAGCACATCAACATTGGGGGTAATTTTTAAAATTCTTTGTCTATCTTTTTAACCCCAACCTTCTAAAAAACCTCACGCAGCACAGTTACACAGTACTGGCTGCCATGGGCATTCTACTTTTGTTTCCTCTAAATTCAATTTTCCAGGTGATGTTTAAATCTTGTGAAAATGTTTAGGTTTTTAACACATACCCTGTCATAAAGCCTGATGAGGTCAAAGGGTAGGAGCAACAGAAATGTCATGTTGTGAGTTTCCAGTGCAGGCTTTACTTTCTCATTAGTAGCACTGAAAAAATATTACTGCATGGGTATGTAACAGTTCAGTTTTACAGTTTGCCCCAGTGCTTATGCACACTGGTGACTTAACCGTGCCCTTAATTATTCTTCTGCATTTGATGCAGCCCAACAAAGCTTTTTTGTTCTGAAATAAATTTGGCTATCCTGTCCATAGCTACAGTACATCATTTGTGACTTAAGAGTCTTCGTGTCTCAGGTTTCAAACAAGAAATACACACACTTTATAGTTTGATACATAACTGGCTGAGTTAAAAAGATAACACTGTACAGAACCTCGGTCTTCCAGGCTTGTTTTATGCTGCGTTCTGAACTAACCATTGAACATAGTCCTTTCCTATCTTTACATCAATGCCCACTCTGCTTCTATACAACACGAGGAAAGTGTTTTCAAGGTGCAAGTAATTTAAAGACTGAATTTTAAACTAATTATGGTACTGGAGGATCACTTTTTATTAAGAATGCTTGCTGTGTTTTTTGATTTGCTTTCATACAGGTTTATTTCATGCAGACAGACACCTAGTGGTTTGAGAATAATGTCATTGAGAACTAGAAGGGAAAAACAGGTCACAGAATTTTCAGAAGATCTGAACTTCTAGAACTCAATCTCTAGAACCACTGGTTTCTAATCTCCCTTTTTTAATAGGTAGAGACACAGGCTCAAATTTGGCCATATAACTTACCAAGTAACAAAGATAGACATTTGAGATATTAAAATAAACTTGAGCCATGCATGCACACCTTTAATCCCAGCACTTGGGAGGCAGGAAGATCACTAAAAGTACAAGGCTACCCTGGATTACAAGGCAAGTTCTGGGCCAGCCATGGCTACACAATAAGACAGGATTCTTATCTCTTGTAAAGTTTTCAAGTATCCGAGGTGTACCTTTATAGTAGTCATAAACACAATGAAGACAGAATGTTTTGAATTAAGTTTACTGCTGAAAGTCCTGCCCCCATCCCCATCACCAAGTTCTGGTAATAGCCTAGAACTTACTAAATCATCTTGCCAACTAGTCCCAAAAAATGATGATGCCTGGCCCTAAGTGTCTTTCGCTGTTCCGGGTTGGATTCGCTTTAGGACAGAATAGCCTAGCTTGCTACTCTTGTAGCTCCATCTGAAGACTGCTTGCTCCATGCTCACCACAATACAACGTGTAATCCAGCATCACTTCTTAGTTCAAAACAATTACAACACAATCCTCACAGAGTTTACTAGAGAAGTGATACTAAGGGAGAAAGCAAACACAGACTATAAAGTCAGCTACAAATCAAGAAGTAGCATTTTTTGTGGGCCAACACTTTATCTGTAACACATGCACATGCAACTAAATCAAGGTCTTCCGGTAGAGGTAATATTCTGACAATTCTCCAGCCTACTTAGTGAGAAATTTTATATTACACTTTAAATTTTCATATGTTGTGATTCTGTCTTACATGCACACTTATACCCTGAAAACTCCAGTAACATGGTAAAGTTCAAAACTTTAATATGAGATTAAATGTAAATTGTTTAAAGTTGTAATCAGTAAAAGAAGATCAGTCCCTCTGTCTCACTGCCTTTTTTATAACAGTGCAATTGAACACTCCTGGGAACATGCGCATCAGACCATCTACCTGTAAACTGCAGTCTCCCCAGCCACAGGACCATGAGGCGAATTACTATGGAGCATTAAAAATCCTAAGACTTTAAACTTTTGGTAATTCTGGACTTATGAAACAGTAAAACACTCTCAAAGCAAAAGGTGACTGAAATGTTATCTCTTGTTAATCTTGGTTAGCTAAGGAGTAAGTGGTAAGTGAGCTTAGACAAAGGTAGTGAGAACTCTTCCCTGCACAACACAAAATTTCCTTGTAAATCAGTCAATTATTTTTCTATGACTCAAAGATTATTAGAATACATACAATATTGTGTAGTCCTTATTTTATTTATGAAGATTCCCCCAGTACAAACATATGAGCCAATAGTCCATTGGTCAATCCTACTCACGTTGCCCACCTCCATGGGGATGCCAACAACACCAATGCTCCTTCATGACACCCAGAAAAACTGTCTTTTCTCCCAGTCAAATGGCCATCTACCAGGCTGCAAAGGTAAGAGCATCCATCCGTGTATCTTGTATGTATGTAATCTGAGGCAGTGATAAAGTTTTTTTTTTCTTCAGCATAACAGTCAATACATTTGAAATCATCAGACAAAGAATCTAACTGCTTTCCCATTTTACAGATGTGTACACAGAACTTACAAATAAAAAGTTAGAGCTAAGGTAGGATCCAGGTCAGCGGTTCCACTGCCAATGGCACACATCAGTGCTGTCATTAGTATTATTACTGGGTTTGGCTAGACTCCACTATGTGACTATGGCTATAAAAGAAGCCCAGTGCTCAGACAGCACTGTTGAGAGCCTGCAGCCTTTCTGCCACCACCATTTTTAGTACGCATATAAACAGGTGACAAAGTGCCTAGTCCCACTTTAGAAGTGAATGTTGCTTACTGGCGGCCAACTAGAATTATCATTTCTCCTCTACATTCATTAAATCTCACAATGCTTCAATAAAAGATTATTTAAAAAAACTCACCAAAATACTCCTGTGCCATCAGACAAGTAACTTGTTTGCCAAAAATGGATAGAGATGAGAAAGCATGAGTCAAAATCTTACAGAAGGTGTGATGACCACACCATGGAGAACTTAGCCACTTAGAGTCTACCATTTTCTCAGACCAAGATGGACCCCTTACATATTGCAATGGAAAGCATCACTTCATACTACACCCTTATAAGTCAGTCAATACAGGGTAAAAGCTATTGCACATTTACAAACAAAAGTAGGGCCAGGCACAGTGGCACCTGCCTATCAACAGCCCCAGTACTTGGGGTACTGAGGGAGGAGGATTCCAAGTTAAAGGCCAATACTCCGTCTCAAAGTAAACTAAATTTAGAAACAAAAGTGGCAGTATATACAACTTGTCCTTCACTGAGGTGAAGTTAAAGCTGAATTTCAACAATGATTCAAACCACTGCTTGGGTCCAGACACTGAAGAACAGTCACTCTTTTGGGCTACTAGAGATCACCTTCCCTACAACAAATGAACTTACATAGCTCAACAAAATTAAGTCAAAAGTCTACTTTTTCTTGACAGCTCAGCCAATTCTTCCCTGATGTGCTGTACAGAAACCTCATCTCTTTTCAGCTCTGCTTGCGTCAGGGCTTCCTGGTAGATCTCCTTTGCTTGTGTGTATCGCTCTAAAATAACCCAAAGAAAGGGGAGAAGAAAATGTGTTTTCAAAGTGACTAAAGGGAAACCACTACTAGTGAGGACTTGTGTCCGATTTACTGGGTACTTCTTGAATAACATCTAATGCTGCCTCGTTATGGTTTCAAGAAGATGGAACTTGGAGTAGGTGTCAGCACTAAGGGACTTAGTGCTGTGGAATCACTTATGCCCTTTATGATGGTAGGCTCTCCCTTGGCCAAAGATTTAACAATTGTGGTGCATACAATAGAGACCTATAATTCCAGGGTTATGGACACTTCAGGTAAAGCCCTGAGTAATATGGAATGGTAGGAAACTGATAATATCATACTGAGGCTTCAGAGCACTGAGGAACTGTAAAACAACTTAAGAATCTGTAACGCGCCAGGCGGTGGTGGCACATGCCTTTAATCCCAGCACCTGGGAGGCAGAGGCAGGCAGATCTCTGTGAGTTCAAGGCCGGGCTGGACCAACAGCCTCCAAAACAATACAGAGAAACCCTGTCTCGTAAAAACCAAAAAAAAAAAAAAAAAAAAAAAAAAAGAATCTGTAACACATTACAGAGATAAGAACCTATCACTGCAAAGTGTGCAGAGATATGGAAATGGTGTGAATACAGCAAGAGAGTACATTAACACACATGCATTTTCTGCCCTTATTTAGCTAGCCTTTTATAGCAATGGTTCTCACCCTTCCTAATGCTGTGACCCTTTAATACTGTTCCTCATGTTGTGCTGACCCCAAAATTACTTTCACTGCTACGTCATAACTGTAATTCTGCTTCTGTTTCAAGTTGTAATGTATCTGTATTTTCTGATGGTCTCAGGTACCCCTGTAAAGGGTCATTAACACCCAATGGGGTCGCAGCCCACAGGTTGAGAACCTTACTGATTTGGGGTTTTCCTCATCTGCCCTCCCCCAAAACTGTTTTACTTCAAAGCCCAGCAACAGCCTGAGAAGGCAGTCTTTCCCTCTACCTACCTCTGTGTATCAAGATGGCAGCCAGATTGCTGAGCACCATGTGCAGCTCAGGGTGATTTATCTCTCTCGCCAGATCGGACGCCCTCTGCATATAAATGTAGGCATCATCAAAGTGGCCCTGTGCATCCAGAGTAGTAGCCAAGTCACTCATCAGCACAATGGTCTAGAAAAAGAAAGCAGACTTTTCTTTACAAATACACCTACACAGAGCATTAGCCTGAAGTTTGTCACACGAGAGAGATCCCCCCCCCCATATCTTCATTAGGACTCCACAAAATGAGAGGGGTGAGCTGCAGACATCTGGTGATCCACACTGTACTGTAGACCGAGTCAGTCCCATACTGTGGTGAGTAATGATGACTCAGAAGGGAGCAGGATAACCTGTTCTGCACAGTTAAGGAGCTCAAAGCAGGGCTGAGAGGCCAGCACTAGGGACTGCTTCTGTGTCTCACTGCATCACAGCAGCACTCCTGCCATGATTCTGAGCCTCGTGGAGAAGAAACAGATCACCTGTATTGCGGAGGGTCTCATTAAAACTTTGAAACCGAGAAAGAGGTAGACTGCGCTCTGAATTTCAGGTTTGTTTCTTACTGGTTCCCAATGACATGCCACTCAGGCTCTCTGCATGAAGCCCTTATATTCCATGTTCAGCCTCATGTGTATGGTGGGCTGTAGACATTCAGAGAAAGCACCCACTCCTTACCCTAAGGATGTATTTTGCCAAAGAAGCAGAGATAATCTCAACTCTGTGTTTAGTTTTCTAACAAGGCTTTGTTTTCCCTGCTTTGAAAAATTATACATTCTGTAGTAGTGGTTTTAAAAGTTGTTTTCTAAGGACTATGGCCTTGGATCAGTGGTAGAACCCTTGCCTTGAAATTATGAAGCTCTAGGTTTTATCCTGTGTGTAGCTTTGGCTGTCCTGGAACTCATTTTATAGACCAAACTGGCCTCAAATTCAGAGATCTATCTGTATCTGTCTCCTGAGTGCTGGGATTAAAGGCATGAGCCACCACCATCCAGTTGGAAAAAAAAATATTTTTTAAAGTCCCTATTTCCTCACCTCCCAGTTACACAGGGGGCAAAGACACTCATATGTTAACTAACACTTACTTATAAGGTTCTGACTGTAGTGTAGTAGTTGTGGTGTTGCTTCTAATTGGGGTGGGGAGATTCAGGCCAGTGCAAAGCTAGTCCCCAGCTCCGGGAGATAAAAGGAAAAAAAAAAAAAAGATTCTCATTGGGAGTCTGCAGACCACTGTGAAACATGAGGCTGCATATTCTGAAGCTCTGAAAGCAGTCACTGGGTTAGACCTACCTCGTACTAAGACTACTGTGTAAATCATGACTCATACAAAAAGGGTCTATGCCGAGTCAGTGATCAGCAATTTCAAACCCTTCTTGAAATAAGCAGGGTTGAGAATAGTGAAAGCTGGTGGAAAGAAAGTGAGCAGATTGCATATAAACCTTTATAACCTCACAACACAGTTCAGTCTGGCCACACTCATAACTGATACTAGCCACTGGCTCTAGAACCTCACCAATGCTAGGCAAACTCTGTACCACTGAAATATACCCAACCCTTTGTCTTTCTCTGCTTTTGACATGGGATCTCATTAACTTGGCCAGGCAGCCTTTAACCTGTGACCTTAAGGCCCATCTTCAGCGTACCTGTACCACAGGCCTGGCTTACATGCACTGTTGCTCAGAAATGCTTTCCTCCTTTACCTGTGGGTGTCTTTCACCTTGTATTTCTTGACAAATCTGCAGGGCTTTTTCATACATCCTTTGTGCCTGTGATAGCTGCTTGGAGAAGAGCAGGTAGCGTGCACAAGAATCTAAGCACATGCCAAGGAGAAGGTAGGTGTTGGCTTTCTCTTCCACTAAGAAGAAAAATAAAGGCATCGTGAGAATGAAACAGTTATTTACAAAGGTGAAAAAAGAAGCCAATGAACTTCTTCATTGTGGCCACCAGGTTCCACTGAATGTCTCAGGTCACTTAGGTAAACTCCTAGCTACAGGAAACTGAATGGACCAATTAAATGACAAAAAATGACAAATTAGGCTGCCTGAAATCATGGGATACCCTATCCCCATTCTGAATAGTTAAAGAGTTCACAGATCAATTCAAATATTGAATATTTTAAAATTGGAAACTGGTAATCAGATGATTAAGTAGCTGGGCTTGGTGGCACACACCTTTAATCTTAGCACTCAGGAGGCAGAAGCAGGTAGATCTCTGAGTTTGAGGCCAGCCTGGTCTACAGAGTGAGTTCCAGGACAGCCAGGGCTGTTACAAAGAGAAACCCAGTCTCGAAAGAAAAGATGGTTTAAGATAAACTTAATAACAAAAAGTCTAGGACCAATGAAAATTATTTTAGGGTATAAGAAAACAATGCAGCAAGAAACCAAGAATACTTGGAATTCTGAGATGGTCTCAAGTCGAATTTAATCTTAAGTCAAATTTAAAGGACATAATCCAATTTTCCAAGAATAAGAACTGGGATCTGAAGTGACTTCAAATTTTATACCTCTGACACGACATGAAGAGCATGAGACTACAGATCTAGAAAACAGGGCCTAGTATCAGCTTTATAAGACCTCAGAATAAAGTAGGAGACATGATGAATGAGAACAATTTGAAGCCCACAAAGAACCAGAAACAGGCTGCTCGGTAGGGGTTTTTCCTATAGCTTCAGCTGGACTTAAACTTCTATCAATCCTACCTCAGCCTTCCAAGGACAAAGATACAGGCATGAGCAACCAGTCTTCGCTTATTAGCTAGTTTTAGGCACCTGAAGATGTCCACTAAAATTTACCAGCAGAGCTATCATTCCTTCTCCATCTTCTAAGGTTTTCAGAAAATTGACAAATGGCATACAAAATGCTAAAAATAATATGTTACTAAGTAACACTATGATCAGTTACTGAAGAGATAGTTCGAATAAAACAATGCAGCTGTGGTGGATGAGCATAGTAGTCTGAGTAATGAAATAGTGAAAGTTAAATAAATGAAGTTTAAAAAGCACAAATCTAAAATAATTTGCTTTTGCTTAATTATAAAAGATCAATAATAGACTGGGCAGTGGTTGTGCACACCTTTAATCCCAACACTAAGGAGGCAGAGACAGGTGGATCTCTGTGAGTTTGAGGCCAGCCTGGTCTACAGAGTGAGTTTCAGGACAGCCTCTGAAGCTACAGATAAACCATGCCTCAAAAAAAACGAAAAAAAAAAAAGTCAATGACAACTTTTGAGGGCAAGGCTAGAGCTCATTTGGTAGAACGATTACCCATCTTTCATGAAACCCTGTACAGTCTGGGTTTGGTAGCACACGCCTATAGTTCCAGCACTTGGAAGTGGAGTTAAGAGAATAAGGAGTCACCCTCATCTACAAAGTGAGGTTAACATAGGAGTCATGAAACCTTGTCTCATATACTGAAGTAGGGAGTGGTTTGGAGAGATCGCCCAGTAGCTAAGAGTGTATGCTGGACAGGCATGAAGACTGGAGTTCAGATGCCAGAACCCAGGAGAAAAACTTGGGGCATGGCCATGCATGCAACCCTCTCACCCTCACTTCCCTTCCTTCCTTGAGACATGCATACAACTTGCAAGCCTCCTGAATGCTGGCATTACAGGCATGTCCTACCACGCCTAGTTTAACTTTCTTTAAATGTTCCTGTTTCTAAATGATCTTTTTAGATCATACAACTATAAAATACATCAATATAACTTTAAAAGACCTAGCATGTGCAAGGCTCTGGATCCTATACCAAACAAGCAAATGATAAGTAAAAGAACAAAGTGACAATTCTAGAGCAAAGTGATTCTGTTATATGTAAAGGAGAGGTGGGCAGAGAGTACAACTAATGAGGTAAAATGCTTGGAATATTTCTAAAAAATATTTTTTAAATACATTTTAAAGTCATGGCACATTCTGGCCATACATTTGGTTCTCAGCACCCACAATGGGCAACTCACTCCAGGTCCAAGTAATCCAATACCCTTTCCTAGAATCTGAGGGCATCTATACTCACATGCACATACCTACACACATAAATGTATGTTTGTGTGTACATACACAATTATACATCACACACACAATTAAAAATAAAGCAAATCAGAACTGGAGAGAGGGCACAGTAGTTAAGAGAGGGTACAGGGGCTGACAGCACTGGCTGCTCTAGCAGAGGACCCAGGTTTGGGTCACAGCACCCACATGGTGGCTCACAACTAGCCATAACTCCAGCCTCAGAGATATGGAGCTTCTTTTCTGGCCACTCCAGACACCAAGCACGCAAACAGTACACTTAATTGAATGCAGAAAACACAGTCATAATATAAAATAAAATAGATCTTTAAAAAAGTGAATAAATTAAATAATAAAATAATAAAGCTTTAAAAATGTGAATGAGGAAGCCGGGCGTTGGTGGTGCACGCCTTTAATCCCAGCACTCGGGAGGCAGAGGCAGGAGGATCCCTGTGAGTTCAAGGTCTACATAGTTCCAGGACAGCCAAGGCTATCTAAAGACCCTGTCTCAAAATGAGGGGAGGGGGGAGATATAAATAGACAGACAGACACAGAAAATGCACCATAAAAGAAATTCCAAAAAAAAGAATGAAAAGGCTTCTCTCTGCTGTCGAGAGAAAATTTCACACAATGTACAGAAATGACTTAAAAATGTTTAAAAATTACACTTATTGATGGGGGCCCATGCTTGTAATGGCAGCACGGTGTGGGGGCTAACATAAACTTGTGCGAAGAACTTCCTTCATCCTGTGAGGTCCAGTGATGAAACCAAGTCTTCAAGCAGCTGCCTTTACCTTCCAAGCTATTTCACTGGCCCAAAAGGACTTCTTTTTCCAAGAAAAAAAAATGTAATTATTTTTATTTTATTTATGAATATAGGTGTTTTGCCTGCATGCATATGTCTGTGCATCACCTGTATGCCTGGTGCCTCCAGAGGCCAGAAGAAGGGCATCAGATCTCTTGGAGCTGGAGTTACTCATGTGGGTGCTGGGAATGAAACCCAGGTCCTCTGGAAGAGCAGACAGGGTTCTGAACCACAGCGCCAACTCTAAAGCCCCACAAAATTATTTATTGAAACATGATTCTTTGAAATATAGGAACTGCTAAGTTAGACAAGAAAAAATTCAGATAGTTTAATAAAAACTGAGTAAGAAGTTCAGGCCATTTATAAGAGTCCAGAGGGTCATTTGAAATATGAGGAGCACATTCATTTCTTCAAACTTTAGTTATATCTTCCACATATTATTTCTAATCATAGAAAAACATATACTACTTAAAGCCAGTACATGAAGAAACCAAGATTTGTTATAGAAGCCTATACTTAAAATATAAGCAAAGGGAATTCTCAAATATACAAAGTAGCTCAGTATATACACTATATTAGCATAGATAAGTGTGTTAAACAGGAATCTGAGGAAATGCTACAGCAACAAAGTAAGTATAGAAGTTCCATTAGTAAAAGGTTATCTCTATGAAAACTTGAGCATAGCAGTCCCTCCCCAGCTCCTACTCCCCACCTGGTGGTAGTTTGAATGTAATTGGCCCTTATAAGCTCTAGGGAATGGCACTATTAGGAGATGTGGCTTGGTTGGAATAGGTATGGCTTCATTGGAAGTTAGGGTGTCACTATAGGGGTGGGCTTTGAGGTCTCATATATGTTCAAGTCACACCCAATGTCTCAGTTCATTTCCTGTTGCCTGCGTATCAAGATGTAGAATTTTCAGCATCTTCTCTAGCACCATGTCTGTCTACACACTGCCATGACCCACCAAGATGATAATGGACTGAACCTCTGAATTGTAAGCCAGCCCAATTAAATGTTTTCCTTTATAAGAGTTGCTGTGGTCATGGTGCCTAATTTTAGGAATTAGCTAAAACCCCAAATGGATGGCATGGAGGCTCAGTTTCTGCTGCGTCTGTAAATGGTCTGATTAACTATGAATCCAGAAAGGCCTTCAAACTCGTACAAAATGTAGAGCCAGGCCTGAAATCATGTGCAGCACAAGCACATCATCAACATACAGGCAAAAGTTCACTATGTCTTTCCTCCCCTGGAAAGTCAGCTCCCCGATGTCATAACTCTGCAACTACAGCTCAATGTCTGACAGAGTGGCTGGCTCTTAATTTTTTTAGTGGCTGGTTTGTTGAGTAAACAAATGAAAAGAATTAAAAACAAGGGTACTGAAATGAATAGGGAAGATATAATAAAGCTTATCAATTGTAATTACAGAAATTAGAAACATGAATTCCACTAAAAAAACTGCAGCAAGGAACATTATCACAAATCAGTAAGCAAATAACAAATTGCAAGATAGGCCTGGGCAACCTGACTGTGCAGGGTTGGGGTTTCCCCATCTCATGTTGTATTGAAAATCAAACCAGACTTCACTGAGAAACAGATGCAGGAGATAAGGCTAGAGGCCAAACTCAGGCTGGCCAGCTGCTATGAAGGACCATCAAGGAAACCCCATGGCTGCTGGCAGTGCCTGCTACATAACAGAACTGGATAAGAACACATTATTTTCACATAGTCATCCCTGGCTTCCAAGGTTATCCCTCTGAGAAAGGGGGCTATTAAATACCCAATAACAGCTAAAATAACAGCTAAAGTATGTTTCATAATCAAAATTTATCAAGTAGACACACTTTGAAAGTTCTGCTTAAAGGATCTCGGCCAAATCCCAACCTCTGTGAACGAATGATGCTTTAGACTGACAAAACCCAAAGCTTCCTCACACCAGACCAGGGGAAGCACTGAAATTGATCAGATCCAGAGCGTTCACTTCTGTCGTACCAAATATTCACTTTTTCTTTCCATTTAATGGGTATACCTCACAAAACATCACAGACTAAAA